ACCTTCTTTTTTGAAAGATGTTTATGTCGGATATAAAATTTAAGGCTAGTAGTTATTTTCTTTCAGTACCTCAGAGATACTCTGTTGACTTCTGAATTTTTTCAATTTAGTTAAGAAGTCAGCTGTCAGTCTTAATTGTTCCACTCTTTTAAGGTTTTCCTCTTTATCTTTGGTGTTCAGCAATTTGATTGTGATGTATCTGTGTGTGCTTTTCTTTGTATTGGTTAACTTGGGGGTTGCTGAGTTTCTTGAATCTGCAGGTTAATCTCTTTGATTTCTTTTAGATATTGTAATATTGTTTCTGGTCTATGCTATATTATCTTCTGGGACTCATTTATTCACATGTGAGACCTTTTAATATATTCCACCTGTCTTTTATGTTCTTATCTGTGTTTACCATCCTTTTGTTTGCTTGAGTTTGGGTATTTTTAATCTCGTCTCCTGCTGAGTCCAGTTTGCTGTTAAAACCTTACAGTGGGTTTTTATTTATAAATACTATATTTCTCAGTTCTAGAGTATCCATTTGAATTTTTTTATAGATTCCAACCAATTCTGTGGTAAAATTATTTATCCTTTCACTCTATCCATCTTTTCCTCTATTTCTTGACTTTATTAATCTTGTTTATTTCAAAGTTCTTGACTGCTAACTTCAATATTTAGGTCATCTGTGGGTCTACTTCTAATGTCTATTTTTTCTCTTGATTATCAGTTACGTGGTTTTGCCTCCTCACATGTATAAAAAAGTTCTTATTATATACCATATATTATATAAAAGAATCGTAGTGGCCCCATATATCTTTACCGGAGAGATTTCCCCCTTTCTTCTGTTAGACTAACACTTCGGTCCAATCCTGGCTTGAGCTGGGTCACTGCTGGGTTGCAATTCTGGTAAGCCTCAAACTTACTCTGGTTTGTCCTTGTTATTAGAGTGTGGTCCTCCAGGACTCTCAATTGAAAGCTTAAAAGTCCTTTTGTCTCCTCAGATTTGAAAGACTGTGGGAGATTTGGTTATGCCCCTTAAAGAGTTTCAACTTAGTTCTTTAGCCTACCACTTCACATAGCTTCAAAATTTGCCAACTGTCTTGAGGAAGACACCATCCAAGTATGGGTCCCTTAAATCTTCAGTTTCGTTACTCTAGCTGAAGAACACCAGGATCTCTACTGGTTTCTTTGTCCCCAGCAGCAGTCTTCTTCCAGAAGTGTATTTGAGGGTATTTTGAGGCCCCTCAAGATGGCAGTTTTGTCTCTGTGGCCCCGCAGGACCATTAAAAACATTGTGGTTTCTCCTTCCCCAGTGACAGCCACACCCTAATCCTGAGCCCATGTCCAGGATCAGCAAATGCACCAAGAGGGGGAAAAAAAACTCACAACAAAAAGCTACATTCTCCCCTCCCTAGTCTGTTAGTCCATCTAGTCCTTGTTACTTCAACAAGTAATGGATGCTTTTAAGAAATGATTTTTGTAATTTATTTGGCTTTTTCTAGTCATCAGGAGTATTAGCCTGCCACACCTACTATATTCTGCTCGAAAGCAGAATTTGTACAAATGTTTTGGAGTGCTCACCATGTGCCAGATGCTCTTCTAGCTTCTGGATATAGGATTGCCCCTGCCGTCATGGAGCCCCCAGTCTAAAGTACGTAGGACAGACATATACACAAATAATACAGCATGCTACATACCAAAATAGAGGTGTGTGCAGTAGCAGGAAAAAGGAGGCAAATGTGAAATGGCATCGCCTGCTTAGAAAATTGCAGGTTTTATAATTTTACGTGGTTGTAGGTTAGAGTTCAAGGGATGAAGCAGTGAGAGATGAGGTTGGCAAGACAGTCAGGGGCCTGATGGTGAAGGGTCCTGTAGGCCATGGTAGGGCCTAGGTGTGCCTATACCTAGAAGTGTGTGCACTTTAGGCAGCTGTGGAGAGCAGTTGGAGAGGAGTGATCACATTTTTGTTTTAGAAAGATTACTAAAGTGTCAGTGTGAAAAGTGGATTCAGCAAGGGCAAGCACGCAAGCCAAGGGGCCAGAGAGAAAACTGTTAGAGTTAAACATGTAGTTAATCATCATCAATAGATTGAAAGATGCCAAAGGGGTAGATTTTGAAATGTGGGGAATGATGGGATTAAGAGGGAGGTGAAAGAAAACAGATTCCAAGGTTTCTAGTCAGTGAGGACCATAAATCACAAAAGGAACACAGTGAAAAGTAGATGACTTCAGTTTTAGGCATACTGTGCTTCCCATTTTATTAGCTCTGTTACAGTGTTTATTGTATAATCTGAGAACATAGTTTAGGAACCAGCACCCTGGGGGACTCCAGGTTATCTTCTTGAAACTCCTCAGGTGAATGAGAAGGATGCAGAGCCCTAAGCCATTGCCCTCAACCCAGCACTAACAAGAGACCCTCTGATTTTGTCTGGTTTTTATTCTGGGGCTTTCCACTAGAAGAAAGTTTTCCATGCTAAAAGGAAAAAAAATTATCAGTGTTTTCTTTTTCATTTATCTTCCCTTCCTGGGTCTCTGTTTTGAGTTGTTTGAACAGAGTTCTTTTTCAAGTGTCTTCCTCTGTTAGAATAATACATGAGTGATACCTTCTCTTGCATATTGTTCTTCCGCCTTGACAGGTGAATATCTTCACTGTATCTAGAGTTTGGGGGCTGCAGTCCTTCATTTGCAGTCAGTAAATACTATTCCACTGTCTTTTAGCATCCATTGTTGCCAATGAGAAGTTCGAAGCCAGTTTTTGGTTTTTTTTCCTTTGTTATTTGTTGTTTCTTCCTGAAAGCATGTGTGATTTTTCTCATCTTTAGAGTTCAGGAATTTTACCAGAATGAGGTCAGACATGTATCCTTTAGGCCTTTTAATCTCCAGATACATCTTTTTGCAGCTAAGAAAAATGTTGTTTCTCCCAGATCTGTCCTCCAGGTCTCACAATTTCCATCTCTTGCATTCCTGCTCAGGGTTAAGATAGTTCTGCTTCATCTTCCAGGCCACTAATTAGGTCTCAGCAATTAATCATCTTTAAAAAAAAAAAATTCATAAATTGAGCTTTTTTGTGTGTGAAAAATCATGTTTTTAATTCTAAGAAATATCTTTTATCTTGTAATTGAACTTCCTTAATTGGTACTGTTGTTATTATTCTTCAAATTCTTGTCTGCCTCTTTTAGTGGTTCTGTTAATCTATTAATAAGATTCACCACCTCAAGAAGTGCTGAAATGCTTTTCCTACCTCTGACTGCTGGATCCCATTAAGCAGTTGTCTTCCTTGCCTATGTATTGATCCAGCTACCAGTGTCCCAGGCAGGGGATGGCATAGCAGCCTCTGCATCGTCATAGTATGAGCTGGTGCCAGTGGGGTATCATTAGACCCAAGCCAAGCTTTGTGCCTGGCATTTTTCTAGCCTGGGATAGGGAAAATTCTTCCCTTCCCTGGCTTCTTAGCACTACAGAGACCAGGAGATATCCCCCCAGGAAGCCTCACAGAGACCAGCAATGCCCTTACTCACAGGGGTCCATGGAGCTCAGTGGGCCATACTCTGTCCAGAGTATCAGAGTCTTGATTGTGTCCTGGATCCCCTCTTGACCCAAGGGGAAAATTGGCACCAGTGCTGGCTCTGGACTGAGCAGTTCTTGCCACACCCACCTGGCACCACTTGCCTGCCGGTCAGTAGCCACTAGGTTCAGGAGTGTTCGTGGGACTGGGGGTGGAGAGAGGCAGCAGAAGCATCTTCTTGTCATCATCTTTTCAGAAGCCCCCAGCAAGTGGACAAAAAAAGAGAGAGACCACCAGACTAAATGATCACTAAGGCTCCATCCAATTAAGCCTCCATCAAATGCCAGCATTTTACAGTTACACACATTTATGCTTTCCACCCTAGCTCAGTCCTCAGTACCCTTGGGCCACGCTTTTATGTCTTCCCAGCATGCTCTGCTTCCCCTAAGGGAATATTTGAGACTTTTATTTCTCTCCTCAAGCCCTCTGTTTATCCTCCTTCTTGTTCACTGTCAGTCCATGACTTTGAATTTCTCTTCAGAGAGAAAAGAAAGACTCTCAGGTATTAAGTTGCTCAGCTTCTTTGCTTACCTATAAACCTGTCTCCTTTGCCTGCCTGCCTGCCTGTCTGCCTGCCTGCCTGCCTTCCTGCCTGCCTGCCTGCCTGCCTGCCGTTCCCCCTTTCCATCCTGCTGGAATCTGTCTTCTCCTGTGATTTCTGTGATAGAATGTGCTCCTGGTTTTCCCATCTTTCTGGGCTCCCCGTCATTTCCTGTTGCTTTCATTCTCATTCAGCTCTGATTCTTCTCCTGTATTACTGGCTGCCAAGGTATCTTTTCAGTGCATAATGTTGACCATATCACCCCCTGCTTAAAATCTCTCAATGACAAGAACAGTCTAAACTAATCTGTAGTGGTAGAAGTCAGATAGTAGTTTCCTCTGGGCAGGGGGGATAGCAATTGATTGCAGAAGGGCACAAGGGAGCCTTCTGGGGTGCTGGAGATATTCTCTGTCATACTTTGGGTAGTGGTTACATGGGTACTGAGCTGTACATTGAGATAGTACATTTTACTCTATGTATACCTCAATTTTAAAAAGACAAAACTTTCAGTGGCTCTCTGTCACTACCAGTTAAAGTCCAAACTCCTTAGAATAGCCCACGGATTCCTATTCATTCATCCCTCAAGTCGTGACTCAGGCATATGCTTCTTGTGAAACCCTTCTGGTTTTCCCAGGGATATGACTCTTCCCCACTCAGTTAGGACCATAAGCATAGGCCTGTCCTAATCCTTAAGAGACTGTGTTGTAACTGTACATTTACTTCCCTCGCTAGACTGGGGGACCCCTAAGAATAGGAGCCGTCTCATTTTCATTTCATTGCACCACTAGTGCCTTGTGCAGTGGCTAGCACACAGGCGCCTAGTAAATGTCTGTTGAATGAAAGAATGCAAGTTCACTTTGTATTTGCTTTGAGCGTGACCTCCTTTACTGAAAGGTTTCCTCCCTCCAGCCTGCAGGATGTTTCCTCAATGAGAAGAACACTATTGCACAATGGCAGTTTTTGATACTCCTGAGGAGGCCTTTGGTGTCTTACGTCCAGTCTGTGTTCAGCTCACAAAGACCCAGACAGTGGAGAACGTGGAACATCTGCAGACACAGTTACAAGCTGTGAGTGACACTGCCCTTCAGGAACTTCAGCAGTACATCCTCTTCCCTTTGCGGTTTACCCTGAAGACCCCAGGTCCCAAAAGAGAGCGCTTGATCCAGAGTGTGGTCGAATGCCTCACATTTGTCCTGTCTTCAACATGTGTGAAAGAACAAGAGCTTCTCCAGGAACTCTTTTCGGAGCTCTCTGCTTGTCTGTATTCACCCAACTCCCAAAAACCCGCAGCCGTGTCAGAGGAGTTGAAATTGGCTGTGATCCGAGGACTCAGCACATTAATGCACTCGGCTTACGGGGACATCATTCTGACTTTTTATGAGCCCTCCATCCTGCCGCGTTTAGGATTTGCTGTATCTTTACTGTTAGCCCTAGCAGAACAGGAGAAATCAAAGCAAATTAAAATTGCTGCCTTAAAATGTTTACAGGTTCTACTCTTTCAATGTGATTGTCAAGACCATCCAAGGTCCTTGGATGAGCTTGAACAACAGCAGCTGGGGGATTTGTTTGCCTCTTTTTTGCCTGGAGTCTCAACTGCCCTGACCAGGGTTATCACAGGAGACTTTAAACAAGGTCATAGCATTGTTGTGTCTTCCCTAAAGATCTTTTACAAGACTGTGAGCTTCATTATGGCTGATGAACAGCTCAAAAGAATCTCAAAGGTCCAAGCAAAACCTGCAGTTGAGCACAGAGTAGCAGAGCTGATGGTTCACAGAGAAGCAGATTGGGTAAAAAATACTGGCGACAAGTTGGCTATCCTTATTAAAAAGATAATTGAGTGTGTTTCAGTTCACCCACACTGGAAGGTGAGGCTGGAATTGGTAGGACTTGTGGAGGACCTTCTTTTGAGGTGCAGTCGGTCACTGGTTGAATCTGCAGGTCCCCTTCTGAAGGCTTTGGTGGGGCTAGTAAATGATGAGAGTCCTGAGGTCCAAGCCCAGTGCAATAAAGTCCTGAGACATTTTGCAGATCAGCAAGTAGTAGTGGGCAACAAAGCCTTCGCTGACATCTTGTCAGAAAGCCTGCATTCCCTCGCCACTTCTCTTCCCCGCCTAATGCACTCTGAAGATGATCAGGGCAAGTTCTCTACTCTTTCCTTGTTACTTGGTTATCTGAAACTCTTGGGCCCAAAAGTAAACTTTGTCCTCAATTCTGTGGCCCATCTCCAACGCCTTTCCAAAGCACTCATCCAAGTTCTAGAGCTAGATGTGGCTGACATCAAGATTGTGGAAGAGCGGCGTTGGAACTCTGATGGTCTGAATGCTTCTCCAAAGACCTCAGATGCACAACCATGGAACCAAATGCAGAGGAGATATTTCCGCTTCTTCACTGATGAAAGGATTTTCTTGCTCCTGAGGCAAGTTTGTCAGCTTCTTGGTTATTATGGGAACCTTTATTTGCTTGTGGATCACTTTATGGAACTGTACCACGAATCTGTGGTTTATCGGAAACAAGCCGCCATGATCCTTAATGAACTGGTTGCAGGGGCTGCTGGGCTGGAGGTGGAGGATCTTCATGAAAAACATACTAAAACAAGCCCAGAGGAACTAAGAGAGATCATGGCATCTATACTTGAAGAATACACTAGTCAAGAAAATTGGTATTTGGTTACCTGTATGGAAGCTGAGGAAGTGGGAGAGGAGCTAATGATGAAGGAGTCGGGCCTCCAGGCCATCACATCTGGTGCACACACCCACCAAGTTGCATCTTTTCTAGCCTTCTCAAAACCAAGTGCCACTGTTTGCTCCATGAACAGCAACATCTGGCAAATATGCATCCAGTTGGAAGGAATTGGCCAGTTTGCATACGCACTAGGAAGAGACTTTCGTTTGCTCTTAATGTCAGCCCTCTATCCAGTACTGGAGAAGGCTGGAGACCAAACCCTACTTATAAGTCAGGTGGCCACCAGCACCATGGTGGACATTTGTCATGCTTGTGGCTACGGCTCCCTGCAGCACCTCATCAATCAAAATTCAGACTATTTAGTCAATGGGATCTCTTTAAATCTGCGGCATCTGGCGCTGCACCCTCATACCCCAAAGGTCTTAGAAGTCATGCTGCGGAACTCAGATGCTAGCCTGCTTCCTTTGGTGGCAGATGTGGTTCAAGATGTCTTGGCCACCCTGGACCAATTTTACGATAAGAGAGCTGCCTCCTTTGTCAGTGTTTTGCACGCCCTGCTGGCAGCATTAGGTACATTGAGAGCCCTTTTTAATGCTGATTTGGGGGACAAGACTCAGTATCCTAGTTTGCCTCGCCTTGTTTTTTGCATTGTTTGTGGTTATGCTCTGGAGGACATGTGAATAGTTGTCTCTCCAGTCCACGTGTTACAGTGGGGTTGCACTGTTTATCTTCTATACTTTCAGTAATCTCCACCATTTATTGAGCTCCTGCTCTGTGCCAGGGATATAAACCCTGCAGACTAAATGTAAACATTATTCTTACTTTATAAATAAAAAACTAAGGGTCAATGAGATCTTACTTAGCCAGGTCACACAGTTATTAAAGGGTAAAGTCAGGGTTTATGACAATTTTGTTCCTTCCAATATACCAAATCACTCCTGATGATACTTGGAGTTAGCAGTACCTATACTAATGAAGAACAGGAATAACATGAATTATTCAGTCCATATATAGTCTAGAACAATATCGTCTAATAGAACTCTCTATAATGGAAATAATCTATATCTGTTCTAATACAATAGCCACTAGCCACACACGGCTAGTGCAACTGAGAAACCGAATTTTTAATTTTGTTTTAATAGCCCTATGTCGCTAATAACTACCATTACTGGACAGGTCTAGAAACTTCCTTTTAACCTTTTAATTGTCTGAGTTGGTTTGAGTTTCTCTTCTTCCCTTTGATCCTTTTGGATCAGAATTGAGGACTGCTGGAGATGTTAGCCACCATTAGAATGGCAAAATTTTGGACAGCAGTTATAAGGGAAAAAAATCCCTCAAATGGACAATCAGTCTTTGAATTAAAAAATAATATATACCTGGGTCCCTTTTACCCAAAGAGCATATTTCCGTTATTTATTTCAATCCTGCTAGTAGCCTCTGAGGCAGGTGGAAAAGGTCGCTGGCCTCATTTTGTCAGTTGGCTTTTTAGCCAAAATCATGTAAGATACTTTGTCATGGAAGGTGACTACGACAGGGACAGTCCTCTGCCCTGTAGCTGACGCCATTCCAGTGTTCATTTATTCATTCATGAACATTCACATACAACATAAATGTTCTTTTATTCATTCGTTCAATGAAGAATGCCTGCCATATGTCAGACACTTGCTAAGTAATGAAGATACAGCAGCGAACAAGATGAATAAACTCGTGGAGCTTTCCTGCAACTGCGAGAGATGATAAACAAGTAAACAAATCATTAAACAAGCTCATTGCAGATTCCGATAAGCGCTGTGAAGGAACAAACACCTTGATGCAAGGGATAACAGAGACAGGCTACTTGCAGTTGAGTGGTAAGGGAGGCTCTGTCTGAGGAAGCGACACTAGAGCTGAGACCTGAAGGGTGAGAAGGGCCCATCAGTACATACAGGGCTGTCACATTCGTTTCGTGATTTTTAAGAACATCCAGGCAAAGAGAAGAGCAGGTGCAAAGGCCCAGAGGAAAGAAGGGGTTGGGGGTCTTTGGAGAATGGAAAAGAGGCCATTGTGGAAAGATGAAGTTGGAAAGGAGGTCAAGGAAAAATCTGCAGGGCCTCATAGGCCAAAGGAAGGAGTTTGGATTTTACTTTACAGCTTCTCAGAAGCCTGTGTAGTGGGCTAGTCACTGGGGAGTCAGCCATGAGCAAGACACACCTGGGCCCACCCCTAAGGCACCCCTCCTAAGACTGGCTAGCTGCTTATGCAGCCTGGGACTGGCTCCCACGGGCCAAATATATCCCACCTTTACTGTTCTGGGGAACTACATTTCAATTTGAGATTTAAAAAAAAAAAATGTTAAGGAAAGTCCTGTGAAATGTATCTCTCAGGCAGTATCTCAATTTGGGCCTTGAAAATTGAAGTGCCTTAGATTGCTGATGTCTGTGGTCATCTCTGAAGGAGGAATGTTGAGAATCGTGTAGCACTTTTTTTAAAAAAATTGAGGTGGAGAAAGGGGGGGTCGTAGAAAGGGAAATGAGGATGTTTAAGATTAACTCTGGGGCATCCTAGGAACAGAAGTAAAATTAGAGATAGCTTTTCTGAAAGTTTTCAAATAACCCAGAATATACTTGTGTATTGAATATTAAATACTAAGTAGTACTGAGGTGGAGTTGGTACAGTCACGAATTAAAGTAGCCCATTATGCTAGCGGTTCTGTTTGTCATCGGATTACCTAACTGATGGGCCACTCTTTTAAGATGGAAGTGGAAGTTTGGTCTCAGAGAACTTCTGAAAAGTCTCTGAGACTAAAAGAACTCAGTACATGTTTTAGGAAATTGAGTTACCATAAACACAGTGTTTCACATGCATTGACTAAAAAGCGTTAGATGCCACAGTAAGGGCAAGAACCATCAGTTAAATTACTACTTAGTACCAACTACTAGTTGGCTGATTATTCATAACAAGAAAAAAATAGGGTAGCTTTGAAAATAAGAAAGTGTTCGTGTCTCATGTTTCAGAACTTGGATATTATGCCATATCCATACATATAGGACTGCTACGTTCTTTTTATGGTTGCATAGTATTCCGTTGCACCAAAGTGCGTTTAGCCAGTCCTTTCTTGGTAGACATTTTGGTTGTTTCCAGTCTTTTGCCACTGCAGAAAAATGCTGCAGTGAATATCTTTATAGGTGATTTTGAAGATGCCTCAGTGTATCAAGGGGATGAATTCCTGAAAGAAATGCTCTGTTTTAAAGGGTATTACGTGTAAATTTTTGATAGAGAGTATTAAATTGCTCTTCTAAGCGGTTATACCAATTTAAACTCCATCACTAATGTAAGAGAGTGCCAATTTTGCCACACCCTCGCCCACACTGTATATTAGTAAGCTTTTGATCTTTGCTAATCCAATGGGAGAAAAATAGCACCTTATTATAGTTTTAATTTGCATTAAGAGCGAGGTTGAGCTTCTTTTCATATGTTTAAAAGCCATTTGTGAGCAAAGACATTTTAATGTCTGGCACCAGCCTTGAATCCAGAAATAATCTTTGCAGCGTGTCTAGTCTTAGCAGTGTAAATGCTGGATCCGGGCTTTAACTATTTGGGAACCAATCCCTTAGAGTACACTGAGTACCTGATTCACAACTGGGGGTGGAACATTGAAGAAATGTCATAATCGATCCCTACATATAGGAACCCCCAGATACCAGATTGAAGGCTCTCATCACAAGCATTTGCTCTCTGCTGCTCCCAGTTGCCTGGCCCCATCATTTCCCATCTGTTGTTGCCCTGGCTCTGTGCAGATGCTCCTTGATGAAAAGGAGATTAGCAAGTGCTAAAGGTTAGCAGAGTCTTTTTCCCTCCTTGCTGCAAAAGGAGGGCACTGGACCAGAGCAGCGGTTTTCAGGTTTGGGATTTTTTTGGTTGTTGTTTCATTCTTTATAAAGATGTTTTTTGACATGAAGGCTTTGGGGGACCCCCCGATGTACAAAAATGGTTGAAATTAGAGCGGCTCTGTGTAAAGAAGGGATAGAGACCCTGGAACCCTCTCCCTCAGCCTGCCGTCTCTTGGTGCCTTCCCTTTTGTTATCCCTAAGACATTTCTGCAGAGCCCTAAGGCTCCTCAGGGCACAGTTTGGAAACCACTGGACTCAGTGGTGTTTAAGGTTTATTCTTTGGTGACATATCAGAGGTATCAGAGCATCACAAAGAAGGTAATGCTTTAGGGAGAGAATGACCAGCGTTCTGAAGTATTTTATGTCAGAAATACAGTATGAGACTCTCCATTCTCAAGGCTCTGTCTTCTGCTAATGACTACTGCTGTTCTGTACTCAGAATTTTGTCACTTGTACGTGTTCAATCTCCTGTATGTTTTCATTCAGCATATATTTTGAGCACCCATTCTCTCCTCGGCATATCAGATTCAGATTTCTAGTGGTGACTAATAGAGCACAGAGCACAATGGGAAATTCTGATGCTGAATAGTTCATACAAAATAAATGCATAATTACAAATTGTGAGTTGATATGAAGAGAAAGAATATGGTGCTGTTATACAAGACATCATACGGGTGACCTAAGTTAGATTGGGGAGTCAAGGGACGGTTTTATTGGGCGAGTTCTATTTGTACTGAGACATGAAAAGGGACTTGGAATTAATCAGATGTAAAGTAGGGGTAAAGCATTCCAGACAGCAAGAGCAGCACATGCAACGGTTCTGAGGCAGGAAAATGCTCGGCACATTGAAGGCACTGGAAGATGGTCAGTTAATGAGCATCTGGGAGTGATAGAAGAGATTGGAGAGGCAGGTAGGGACTGGATCATGTGGGGGCCATGCAGCCATGGCAACGATCTTATTCTACATACAAAGCACTAATGTCTGTTGTTGATAACCAAGTGATCATTGTAACACTTTATTTACAGCCCAGTGGTTCCCAGACACAGGTAATCTCGGGCTACTCCAAGAACAAAGTTTAGGGGAAGAGGGAAGTCATTTGCACCGAAGACCAGTGACTCTTGAGAATAGTACCACAGCCGAAGACATTGAACAGTTTGTGCTGAACTACCTCAAAGAGAAAGACGTAGCAGATGGAAATGTCTCAGATTTTGATAATGAAGAAGGTAACTTTATTTTGGCTTACCTGTTTTTTCTTTTTGAAGCCAATTATTGTAAAAATAATGATACATCATTACAGAGAGTTTGGAAATAAGAAAAGTCACTTACAACCTCACCATGCTAACATAGCCATTCTCATTTTTTGTGTAATCTTTTTAAATTCTCTTTTATTGCAAACCTTTTTACATGGTTGCAGCTGTAGTTTGAATGCATTGTACCCTTTTTGTGTTATAAGCAACTCTCCATGTTGCTAGAGTTTTCATAAATAATATTTTAATAGCTGCTACTAAGTGTCCATTCCCCTGTGGGATATTTAGGCTGCTTCTAGCTTTCACTCTAATAAACAGTGCTGCAATGGATGATTCTGTGCACGTGACCTTTTCTTTTTTTTGCATATTTCTTTAAATTCCCAGAAGTGGAATTTCTGGGTCAAGGATACGAACATAATTTCATGCTTGCCAAATTGCCTTTCAAAAAGGTTATGCCAGTTTCCTTCAGCGGTGCAGGATTAATACTGGTTTCACCACAACCTTGCCAACAATGGCTGTTACCAGTTTTGCTTTTTCCTAAATTAATGGGTAAAAAATGGTTCTTGTTATTTACCTTCCATTTCTTTGATTACTGGCAAGGCTGAATGTCTTTCCGTATGCTTCTTTCCTAACAGTTTTTTTTCCTTATGCCCATTGTCTATTCATATGCTTTGTCCATTTATTCATTGGTGGGAGGAGATTTCAATGTTTTTCTTACCAATTTATATGATAAAGAAGAAAGGATTTCAGGCTAGTTGAAGCTCTGGCCTGTTGTTTTATTCACAAGCTCAATCTGGAGCTTCAGGTCACGGAAGGATTAATAAATTATTAGAATCTCCTCTGCAAATATAAAATGCCAAGTCATAATGAGCTTGGTGGTCTCACAACTATCCCAAATCGAACTGAGTCCCAAATTAGTTTGTTAGGTTGGAATTGAACAGATTTTTTTTTTCTTTTTCTTTTCTTCTTTTTTTTTGACAATCTGTACGCTGAGACCGTGGTGAACTGAAGCCAGTACTTCCAGGATAAGAGGAAATAGTAGCTCGATGCAACTAAGTACAACAGATTCCTCCTAAATAGGAAGGAAGCATCACAGGCCCCAAGTAATGATTTATGCAGAGTTGAGCCTTGCTCTCCCCAAGGACAGAGTTTTCTGATCAGAAATCTATCAGGCTTTTTCTTCTCAGATTTGTTTCTTGAGCCAACCCAATCCTTCTTTTCATGAACTGCATCCCTCACCCAAACCTGGAAACACTGAAGAAGGGAAGGCATTCTGATCCCTCTTAATCTGGATTTGCCATTCTTGTTTAAAATTTGAGCATTGTCAGAGAATCCATTCCTTTGTGACTAGGATCATCTAGTTCTAGTTGATCTTCACTAGGAGCAGACTGAATGAATCAAACCCTTCTCCCAATAGCAGAAAAATCCACAACCCTCAAATAGTATTCTGCAATAGGTGAATTTCAAACAGCAGATCCTCCTCTGGGGGGAAAAAAAAGCACAGCCCTATCATTCTTATGATTATCATTCATCAGGTACACACTACATACTTGGCATTCTAAGGAATGTTTGGCTCCATGTTGGTTTGACCTGAATTTTTTGTTTTAACCACATAAATGCACCTTGTCTATCTGAGGTCCCTTCTCTAAGAAATTCAAGCATTCTACAAATGCATTTTCATTTATCTTTTCAGCATCTGTTAGAGACAGGTGCGGCCTCTACTGTAAAATTCTGTCTTTCCAGCAGAGGAAACTGAAATGGGAAAAAGTTAAGGGAGCAATGCTCAGCTCAGTGGAAATGAGCACAGCTGGTAACAGGGCTTGGATGCAGGGCTGGGGGCTGTAAGTAGATAGGGGAAAATTTTTCAGGGATTTTGGCCTGGGTTTCATGCAACTCACAGTCTTTTTTGTTGCTTTAATTTACAACTTACACCTATCTCATGCAACGCAGCACTCTAGGCAGTGAGAGAATGGTAATAGCTGGTAACATTAATCTGTTTTAACCCTCTTATCAGCATGTGACATATATATGGTGTATCCCTTTTTTCCAGATGGGAAGTTGCTAGTAGGTTGTGGGGGCCTGACTTAAACCAACCTCCTCTAACCAAACCTTGTGCCCCATGTGTTGCACCAAGCTACCCTAGTATTATCTCTCCTACAAAGATCAGTAAGGCTTGTTTCTGGCCATCAGAAGTTCTTACAGGCTGGTGGAGAAGACAGACATGCACCCCCCATAGTCAAAGGATGAAGCAAGAGGAAAGGAAAGTGAAGGACAGAGCAAAGACCAGCCATGGAACTCCCCAGCCTCAAGGCTCCACCCGAGAACCCTGCTGTCTTGTGTTTTTATTTTGAATATTTATTAATGTAAATTTAGAAAAGACCAAAGGCATAGGGAAAAAATTTAAACCATCTATTATCTTATTACCTCATCACTGTTAATATTTTGTTGTACTTCTTCCCATGCAAAAATTTATACAATAGTGCTCATGCTGCATATGCAATTTCGTATCATGCTTTTTCTCTTCTTAACACAATATTATTTCATAAATATTTCCCCTTGTCATCAAAACCTTTGCTAAACACAAATTTTAAGGACCTCAAAACATGCCATCGTATGGCTGTACCAAGGTTTATATAACCGTTCCCCCTAGAGTGGAGGGTGGCTTAGTCCATTCATGCTGATGTAACAAAACACCTGAGACTGGGTAATTTTTAGAGAGCAGAAATTTATTTTGTCCCAGTTTTGGAGGCTGGAAGGTCCAAGATCAAGGTGCTGGTAGATTCAATTGTCTTGTGAGGGCTGCTCTCTGCTTCTTGCTGTATCCTCCTGAGGAGAGGAACACTCTGTGCTCACATGGCAGAAGGTAGAAGGGCAAGTCAGCTCAACGCCGTGCGAAGCCTCTTTTATAAGAGCCTTAATCCCATTCATAAGGGAGAAGCTCTCAGGACCTGATCACCTCTTAAAGGCCCCACCTCTTAATACTATGGCATTGGCCATTAAGTCTCAACACTTGAATTGGGGGGTGGGGGGACACATTCAAACCACAGCAAGGGTTTTTCCCAGTTTTTAGCTATTACTAGTGCTGTTATGAACATCTTGACTTGTACAGCTTGACCCAAATTTCAGATGGTTTCCTTAGGATACAGTCCTGGACATTTTCATTTTATAAGTCCTATTCCTGAGTCCAAAGCTGGGGGTCAGGCTGGGTGGGGGCATCTCTCATAAGACACTGTCCCTGGTTATGCTCTTTTTCCAGAGGAGCAGTCAGTCCCTCCCGAAGTGGACGAGAATGATACCCGTCCAGATGTGGAGCCGCCACTGCCAGTGCAGATTCAAATAGCCACAGACGTGATGGAGCGCTGCATCCACTTGTTATCAGATAGAAACCTGCAAATCCGCTTGAAGGTCAGTGTGCGGCCCCTTCTCTGCATTCACAGAGCGTCAGGACTGAGGTGTGGCCGGGTTGGCCGTGGCTACACAGATGAGCAAGTAGATTCCCTTATCTCATGGTCCATGTGTAGTGGCCAAGAGAAGGCATCGAGAGGAATTTATCTCTGGGATGACAGTTTTACATCTTTCTGTGTCAGTTCAGATACCAACAGGGAGCTGAGTCCCCTGCATTAAAAACCACGAAGTTTGGGGGGGATTCATTCAGTCTCCAAGGGAAAGGATATCATTTTCTGAGCCGACTCAATGTGGGATGCAGGTTTTAATACTTCAAAGTGGTCATTCTTCCAAAGCTAACACTAACCCTTATCTCTGTTTCTCTTTCCATTTTCATCCTAGGGAAAACTCCAGCACTTCGTAATATTACATCCTGATTTGCTGGCAGTTTTCCCAAGCAGCACTCCATCAGCAAGGGCTTAAAATATACAGTAGTGACTGCAGTAACAGGACCGTGGGCGGGGTGGGGGGGGAGCGGTGGTAGTGGAGGCCAGGCTTTCAGAATCACCCAGAAGATCTTACACCCAAAGAAAAACAACACTCCTCTCTATTCTCAAGCAGGAATGAGAAATGCAGCTGCTTTAGTGACTCTGTTAGTGATGAGAGCATGTTGCCTTGCTCAGGGGTGATGGGCTAAGAAACCCTCATCTACAGATTATCTGAAATCTCAGGGTCTGTGTTTTGTTTAGTCTTCCAAGGACACTGCTTAGCATTTACCTGTTGTTCCATTTAGCAAGCACTTTTGAGTGCTTGTTATATTCAAGGCTTTAATGTAGGTGCTTGGTTGATACATTCAGCAAGCTCCAGTATATCCTTCAAAACCCTCCCTTTTATGGAGGCTTTGTAGCAGCTGTATTCACACCATAATTATTAAGAGCATCAGTGTTGGAATCAGAGCTATATACCTGAGTTCCAATCCTGGTTCTCCCCCTTACTAGCTGTGTGACCTTGAGTAAATTCATGCACCTTTTTGAGCCTCAACGTTTTCATCTGCAAAACGGAGATAATGGTACCTAACTCACAGAGTTGTGGGTTATAAAACAGCATGAAGTATGACATATACAGTCATTCATTCATCACTAAATGCTAATTGAAGACTACTACAGGCCAAGCAGGTGTATAGAAGGGAATGATGCAGACATGACCCCTGTCTTTATGGAATTCCTGTCTGTTGTAGGAAGAGAGGCAATACTCAAGTTCACACACACAAGTCGAGGAAATGCCATCAAGATAATAAGCAGGTTCTGTATGATAGAACATAGTAATTCACCCATGTAGCAGATACATATTGAGAACCTACTCTGTACCAAACCCTGTTAAGACAGAGCTTACCTTCTGATTTAGACTAGATCCTTGGGGAAAGCCTCTCTCAGGTGGTAATGTTTCTAAAGGTTGAGAAGAAGCTACCCATGCAAAGGGACAAAAGCAGGGAGAAGAACATTCCAGGCAGAGGGGAAAAATGTGCGTCTTTGAATCAGTGGAATATAATGTAACTTGTCCAGTTAGTGACAGAGTTCAAATTCAAAGCCAGTCAGTGAGACCAGGGCCACTTCCACTATACGACCCTGCCCTCCACTGTACTACTGAACTTCTCCTTGTTCCCCTGCCTAACGAGTCACCCCCCAATGGCAGGGTCTCTTCTGTTCCAGTCTCAGTGTGGACCAGCGTGGAGTAGGCACCCAATAAGGGTTTGCTGCTTAATGTCGGCAGGTTCACTCCGTCTCTCGGACTCAAACTTGCACTGCACCTGCTCTGTGGAGACTGGCCCGTCTGCAGGAGGGAAGCCTGCATTGGTTGTCATACTGACCACTGCCTGTGACACTGATGCGGGCTGTCTGCTTTCAGTGAGCTTTGAGAGATAAGAGATCAGGAAACATTCTTAAGGAAGGTAAAAAATCAGTTTACACATGGGCTAGCCCAAATCTTTCTTGTGAGATTAGCCTATACCTCAGCTGCCTGCTCGGCCTCTACGTGCGGCAGTTAACAGGACTCGATCTCACAGCCTCTCAACGTGCTCCTCCTCCATGGCTCGCGTGTCATTCCCTGGCACCAGCATCTCTGCAGTTGCTGTGCCTGAACCCGAGCCGCTCTCTCTGATACCTCCCTTCCCCTCCCCAATGTCCCGTCCTTCGGCGGTTTCAGCCATGTCATCTCCAAAACAGATCTCAAAGCCTTTCATGCCTCTGCCTCCATCACGTGGCCACGTCAGTCTGCTTCTCTCGTGTGAACATGTGCCGTGGCCTCCTAAAGGGCCTCCTCTCTTCTCTCTCCCCTTTCAAGTCACTTCGGCAGCCAGAATGACCTTTATTAAACATGAATTGTGTCATGTCACTTTCCTGCTCAAAACACTTCAATGGCTCTCCACTGCACTCAGCACAAAATTAAAAATTCCTCATGTGACCCCTTTGTGGTCCAGTCCCATTTTACCCCTTCTGCGTGTTCCACGCAGCCCTTTGTTTGCTGAGCACAGCAAGCTCGTCTCACCTCAGGGTCTTCCTCGCCACGGTTTCCGGTTGTAGAAGCACTCTTTCACTCTTCACAGGACTAGCTCGTACTCATACTTCGTGTCTCTTTTTAGAAGCTTCTTCCGCAGAGAAGCCTACCTGACAGTCTGTGTGGTTTAGATCCTTCTCTTAGTGTCTTTGCATTTCACCCTTTACTTCCCTCCTTGTTGGCAGTCATCTCTTTATTTGATTGTTATCTAATTAAGGTCTCTCCCCAGTTGACCATAAACCCCCAGAAGGCAAGGAAATGTGTGTGTTTTGTCCCTGTGTGTCCCCCCAACCCCAGTACCTAGCTAGTGCTTGGCATGTAGTCAGCACTCAGTAAACAATTATCCAATTAATGCATTTCCAAATTATATTCTTTTTAAATGGTGACTTGATCCCAGGAATCTGGTTTCCAGCCCTTACCATCTGCTGAAATCATATCTTTTCTTTCAGGTCTTGGATGTGCTGGATTTGTGCGTGGTGGTTCTGCAGTCCCACAAGAACCAGCTCCTTCCCTTGGCGCATCGGGCCTGGCCCTCACTCGTGCACCGACTTACACGGGACGCCCCCCTGGCAGTGCTCAGGGCCTTCAAGGTACTGCACTGATGCCCTCCACTGTCTGTCATGAGGATGGAGGTAGGACCCAGCTCTGAGCTCTCACCAGGGTCTTTTGGATTGGTTCTCTGTTTATCTCATTGTAGTGTCATATACCTTGAAGAAAGTATAGAAAATAACAAAAGCACAAAGAAGAAAATAAAAGTCTCCTTTTGAATTTGAAGCAGAGTGAACTAGTAGATGAAAAAGGCCACCAGTATTTATTAAGCACCTCCTGTGTGCCAGGCAATGAGCTCAGCACTCCTCCGCACACAAGCTCATCTCACAACCAACCTTCCGTGGAGGAGGGTATATTATGTCCATTTTTGGCAGAGGAGAAAACAAGCTCAGAGAAGTTAAGGAATTTTCTCAAGGTCACACAGCTAATAAGTGATAGAACCCAGATCAGTGAGTTCATGCCCATGTTCTTTGCACTGCACCTAGGTGAAGAAGCCTCAGTTCTGGCAATGGGCATCCTCTGCCCAGCCAGGCGACTTTGGGCAAAGCCCATGACCACCCATTTTCAGGTTGGTCTTAGGAACACCTATCTCACCTTTCTCATAGTGTTGTCAAGGATAAAATGGGACTATTTGGTGAAACGCGTTGAAAAGCTAACAGCCCTATATATATGTAAGGTATTATTCTCCCTGACTTAGTTTGGCTTATATTAGCATACATATTTTAGCTTATTTATTTATATCCTTCCTTGTTCTAAAAAGGACTTAAGGCAGCCTACAGAGATAGTTTACCATGGCAAGCTAACATAAATTAGAAGAAGGTAAGCAACACGAAGCAAAGAAAAAAGATGTATAAGGACATAAAACAGAGCTGGGAATGCATCTAATGTACGTGGCAAAAGTAGTTTGATTTTCTGTAAGATCCTTCAGCATATACTGGACCAAATTAAAATACATAAAATTGTTAATTTTTTTTCCCAAAGCAAAATGCACAAAATGGTGTGTGTTTGTGTGGGGGAAAAAAAAAGAGGGGGGTTAGGGGAGAGGTGGGGAGATATTGCCAAATCTTATTCAGATGTGCTGCTTTTCTTTATGAAAATCAATAGATTATCTGAGATGACAGTAAGTGTAGAAAAATGAAAAATACAAAGATGTGTGCGCCGTGACTGAGGCTGCTTTTCTCATGTGCAGACATGTCGATGACAGCTGAGGTCCGTAGAACTCTGCAGTCCAGCTGAGGGACCTGGAATGAGAGCCTTGTTCTCTGCAAAGTTGGCAAATGCTCTGTGTGCTGGTTTTGCCTCGCTTACCAATTTTTAAAGAAATTCCTATTATCCTGCGTACTCAGTCTTGTGCAGCGGGGCAAAACGTTTCAATATGTTCTGCTAGAGAAAGTTTAAAATGAGACATGCAAAGAAACTGTCTGTTGTGAAAGATAGAATGTGGGTGATGTACTTAGAGATTGTGCAGTTGAACAGAAGGAACACCAAGTCAGCTCCAGTGACAGGATTCCTGCCTTGGTTCAGCCCAGGGACCTCGGCCCGGTCACCGCCCTCCTGATGCCTGTATGTAGCAGCAGCTGGGCCTTAATGTTTGTGTTTGCTCAGCCAGCTAGAGTTAAAAGCACAAGTATGTTCTCAAGGGATGTTAGGAAGATTCAAGAGATGGTCTATGTGAACTGCTTTAAGATCTTCTTTTTTTTTTAAGCCAAAAAAAAAAAGAGAAAAATCAAGGTATTAATCATATTCATCCAACCCAAGATTCCTTTGAATTATTCTCCGTGTAATCTGTATTTATGGATAGAAGCAGCCATGCCTTGAGAGCAAAGACCTCCAAATTCATAACTGTCAGAATCACAAACCATGGGCAAGGAATTAACAGCAGTAATTCTATTTTTTTTTTTTTTCCAAGTAGAGACCTAGATGAAATTCAATTACCAAGCATTCTTTAGCTCTACTGCTGCCTTGGCAATGTTTACTCACCAGGCTGGGGGAATGTTTTTGCAGGTTTTGCGTACCCTGGGAGGCAAATGTGGCGACTTTCTACGGAGCCGGTTCTGCAAAGATGTCCTGCCTAAGCTGGCTGGCTCCTTAGTCACCCAGGCTCCCATCAGCGCCAGGGCTGGACCAGTTTACTCACACACACTGGCCTTCAAGTTGCAGCTGGCTGTCTTACAGGGCCTGGGCCCCCTCTGTGAGAGACTGGACCTAGGTGAGTACCGAATGGGCCCACCTGAACACATGCACTCTGCATCTGCCTCACGCCTGCCGTTGCGCTCTGTTCAGTCGGGCCCCATCTTCTCCCTTCAAGTGCACCTCCTTTAGTTTCCCTTGGGCCTCATCTGTCCATTTATCTTGATGTGCTCTTTGGTGGGATGGAGTAGAGAGCCCAGGGCATCTTGCCTAGCTGTTCCAGTTTCCCCAGACAGCAGTTGGTCACTGCTTGTCCCAAATGAAGTCTGAGGGCTGATGCTTGTTTTGTTTTTCCTCTCTGCAGGTGAGGGTGACCTGAATAAAGTGGCTGATGCCTGCTTGATTTACCTCAGCGCCAAACAGCCCGTGAAATTACAAGAGGCTGCCAGGAGGTACGTCTGCTTGATCACCCACATCTCTTTACGTTTGTTCTAAATTACAGATGATTTGCTAATGGCGATAAGAGTTGAGGCATCTCTGCTCTCTTTTCTCTTTCTCTCTCTCCTTGCCAGGTTAAGATGATTTCTTTAGCTGTGCCAACTCTGGAGATGGTATTTTTACTAGACGCATTTCTCTTTGCCAGTAACCTTTTCCTCTGCTGCAATGTCAGCAACAATTCCAGAGGGTCAAAAAGCAGAAAGACAATGTGCTTGAGGGGACACAGCACCCTCCTGGTCCAAGGAGGATCCACTTCTGGGCCTGCCAACTGGGTACCAGCACCTTTCCATACCTCAGCTTCTTCAACGGCAGAGCAAAAGCACTGGGTTTCTGATCTGGCATACCTGCACTCCACGAAGGGTATTAGATAGGCATCAGTGCCACAAACCCTTGCAAATTGCATGCAAAATTGTATGTGTGTGCAGACAGGTGCATGCATACCTTTTTCTAGACAGAGAATCCACACCGTTCATCCATTTCTAACAGGAGTCTGTGATCCAAAGAACATTAAGAACCACCAGATTAATGGTTTAAAGGGCCTTTTCTGATTCTGAAATTACATGATTCCAATTTCCAGGAGTTTTGACCATGCTTATTAGAGAATAGCTGTACCACTTCTAGCAGAAGGAGCTACTTCTGGTTCCTTAAATACTGAAGGATTTTAACTCGTGAGCTGAAACTCTGAGCACAGCAGCATTCCCCTGACTTGAGACCCAAAGTGCATTTTAGCCTTCTTTCCCCAGCTTTCCTTCCAGCTGGGAGCAGCCTGCATCCTGGAACTCCCATCTTGGGATGCCTGCTGCTGGGGCGAAAGCTGGGCCGTGCGGCCTGGTGCTGTGTGCTGCTGTGGGCCCTGGAGCTCCTCCAACCTGACCAGCCCTGTGTCCCGGAGCAGAGTCCCTCCTCCTTCCCAGGCTTCTGCAGACACGTCCCTGATCATCCTTAGTGGGTAGGAGGTAGGAGTCAGCTCATTCCCCGAGGGGCTAAAAGGCTGCTCTGTGGAATGAGGAGAGCCAACTTGCTCCCTTACAAACCTTGCGCTCCCCGGGAGTGACGGGAATATCCTTTTGAATTGATTTATTGTCCTTTGAAATTTTTTCCTCTTGATTTCCCCAGTTTCCTTTTTCTTCCTGTCCCTTTCCTGTCACATCTCTTAGTCCCAGAATCAGTCGTGGTTTCTTGAGCACGGGGCGCATCCCAACGAGCTTCTTGTCTCCAGTCATTCCTGTTCCTTACAGAGCCAACTTAGGGTGAAAACAGTCCTTCCTGGGCGGTGCCCCTGAAGCTGATTGTGCTGTGATTTAAAGTACAACTCAAGAGTGTAATGAATTTGTCTTGCAGTAAATTCTTTTAGATGCCTGTTAAGACCAAGAGTTACAGAGAGCTGATTTTCACATTCCCTGTTCCATTCCACTTTTCCTACACCCACCCCATCCCATCCTTCAAGTTTAGAACCATCAAACAAGCTAATATTCTCAATTCATTATCTTTTCATTTCTAATTCTGTTTTTTGCCGCTGAAAGCCATTAAACCCAGGATTGGACCTTGCTGAATCTTGAGTTGGTATTCAGGGTGCCTCAGAAAGAGGAAAATACAGCCAGACCACTTCACTGCAGCTCCCTTTGTTTGCTCCAGTGCATTCTAGCACATTCCGTTCAAGGTTGAGTCAGATGACCTCCCTTCTGACTGGCTGGGAGGGGGAGGAAGTGCAAGGCTGATTGCTTCATACACACATCACCTGCAGACTTACTTTGAAGTCAGGAAAAAAATCAGTGTTGTCCTTGATCAAGAGCTGATTTGGCAACTTGATTCAGAAATTAATAAGTTCTCTAAATGGAGAAGAAGCCTGAGACAATAGGAAACCTGGTCTCTTTGTGAGCCTCATTCCTGTGGGAAGAGAGGGAGGTTGTTGAGCTGATTGACATTGAAGCCATGCCTACTGGTACTGAGCAACGAGGTCCCCTGAACGGGCTGGAGTCGCCGTCTCAGCAGCAGCACCGAGGTCCCCTGAACGGGCTAAAGTCGCCGTCTCAGCAGACAGCCCCACCGCCCATCCAGTTGTTTGTTCTCAGTTCTTCTCTTTCACACCCCACATCCATTACCAAAAGTAAAGCCTGCCTGCCTCACTCGGAAAATCACTCTCAAAACTGTCTGCTTCTCTTCACCTCCAAGCCACCAGTCTAGGCCAGGCCACTTCCACTCCTGCCCCTCCAGCCTCTAGGTATTCTCCACATAGCAGTCAGAGCAAGACACACACACACACACACACACACACACACACACACACACACACGAAGAGAAAGCTGTGTGTTCTTTGCAAAAGCCTAAGGGCGAGCCCTGTAGCCAGGGCCTTAAAAAAAGTCTCAGCTTAGTATTCAGAAGAACCAATAAAAGAGCTGTCCAGAGATGACCAGATGTAGTGAGTTTCTACCCTGGGCAGATGACCAGCTTGCTTTGGAAGTGGGTCTTCTGTCCACCAGGGGGCTGGTGAGGGAGCTTTAGGGGCAGAGGGCTGCTCCAAGGCCCCCCACATTCTGGAAGGAAGTGGATGTGCCCTGGCCCACGGAGCAGCCGTGTCTGTGGGCTCCTCTGGCAGTGGATTAGGATCTGCTGGGGCAGCCTTCACCGTGTTGGGATGGAGGCAAACTTGGTGGCTCCATAAAAGTTCTTTATGTGCATTATGGTTGGATTTTTCCTTCCTCCTGTTTGCTTTTCCTGGCTCCAAAGAATGACCAAGCCTGTGTTTGCTTTTTAATTTGTCATATTAAATATAGCCTTTGTGGCAGGCTTTTACATCCAGGCTGTAAACTCTAGAAATGGAAATTGATCAGAGGGTGGTTGATATAACCAAGGTTGTAAATGCTAAGAACGGAGATGCCATTCCAGTTTAATGCTTTTATCTAGCGAATGTGCCTCGTATGGAGGGGGCGTAAATCTTGCAGCTTGGGGGTGGGGTGGGGGCAGGGTCTCACTTTGCTGTATGTTACCACCAGGTGTCACTGTTAACTGTCGATGCAAACACACACACACACACACACACACACACACACACACCCCAAAACCAGCTCCCCAAAGTCCATCTAGTTAAATAACTTTAATGGATAACAAATGAATAAATCACATTTGGGGTATGGGAGGAGGGGTCAGCATACCAGGAGCTAAAATAAGGTAGTATCCCTGAGGGTAAGCACTAGGTTACAAATAACAGGTCAGATCAGCCACTCCCCCGTCTCTGCAGAGGCAAACTTAACTGATTTTGATTCTGAGCCTCCAAGATGTCTCGGCATGCAGTGGGCCTCCACACTTCTGTGCCTTTCTGGTCATGGAGCTTTCTTTCCCATACTTGAAAGGAATTTGAGATGAGAGCATACACCCCAAATTTCTGTTTTTCCTTCAAATCGGTAGGTACAAGGACTCAGCCTGGTTTAACTCCATTAAAACCTCGTTCCTTGGGCCAGTCTCTTAGCAGCCTCTGAGACTCCCTGTCTTTTGCAGTGAAGTCTTCTATCATCTAATAAGCCTTCTGCTCTAGGCTAAAAGGAAACAAAACTAGGCAATACCTGTTTTTAAAAAGATGAAGTCCATGCCCGACAAGTCTCATAATAAAGGAACAAAGCTTTTAGGCTGCTTGGTCTCCATCCGCATCCCTCCCCAACCTGTGAACCCCAGAGCCCAGGTAGGGCTGCAGGGTGCCAGCAGGTAATGACCAGCTGGTGTACCTTCTGGCCATGCAAGCACCGGATGCTGTTATTGCTGTAGTCCTTGACTGGGGTTTGGGGGTGGGGGGTGCCCTTCCAGCTCTCTGCCTAGCTGTTGTGTATGAGCGCACAAGGCAACAATCTTGGGTTGGACAAAGCTAGGTTCAGATCTTACTGGCTGTGTGACCTTGAGCAAACGACTTAGTTTCCTTTCATTTCATTTCTCCCTCTATACACTGGGTGATAATAACCCCATTCTCACAGGGTCTTTGTGTGCGTTAATGTGTTCAGGGAGTCCACTCGGTGTTTGTTCATTCTCCAGATGGGTTGAGAAGCTGCTACTTGCCAGGCACTGTTCTAGGCACTGAAATTAGAATAAGACAGGCGGCCTCTGCCTCTGTGCTTATGTTCCGAAGGTGTATCTATATATGTACACATATATGTATCCTATGTAGGATACACTGCATATAAATTTACCAGATATATGACGTATTATGTGCACGTTACACTTATGTACACTTGGGCACAGTATTTCTTTTGTAAGCCTGCTTCATCTTTACTGAAATCCAAACAGGGGTTTTTACCTCAGAAGGTTCTTTTTCGTGTTAATTGTGCCACCTCTCCCCACCCTCGTTTGCAAGAGAAGTCAGGACCAGGTTTGAAGGTTCATTTACTGACTGACTTCCCCGCTCTCTTTCTAGCAGTAGGATCCCAGCCCATCAAAGAACCAGGCGGTGCCTTCAAACCCTGGACTAGTGCAGACTGGCGCAGCCTCATTCATTTCATCCCCGTCAGAGCCCCAACTCCTCTCTTTACCCACACATCGGCCTATTGTATTTGAACGGATCAGAAGTGGTCCGTTAGTTCAGCTGAGTTGAAATTAGTAGCTCATCCCCTTAAATGGTATCAGCAGTTTGTTTGAGCTTGGACTGCAAAGCCGTTTCCCCCTTGGATCGCACCCGGCATGGAAATGAGAGCACTGCTAATATTTTCCCTTTTGACACTTGATTAATAGTTGACAAATCCAGACCCAAGTAGTTAGCTTTCCTATTATCCATCTTACGACAGGCCTTGCTGCTTTTCTTTTCAAGGCCCATTGTTCTAAAAATACACTCAGATCTGAAGCTGTTCACTGTGCATATATAGGCCCGATTTCTTGCTGTCCAAGATAAGAGACATCTGCCACGCAGATTACAAACAGCATGGGTTGCTGGGTTTCAGATCGGAAGGCGGAGACCTCTGTGCTCCTTAAATCC